GAGTGTGTCAGGGAAGGAGACTGGATGACATCCATAGACCTGACAGACGCATACTTCCACGTACCCATAGTGCCAGAACACAGGAGATTTCTGCGCTTCGCAGTGGGAGAGAGGAATTACGAGTACTGCCGTCTCCCTTTCGGGTACGCTCTCGCGCCTCGCACTTTTTCCAAATGTGTGGAAGCGGCTCTGGAGCCGATCAGACGTGCCGGGGTAAGAATATTGACCTATATAGACGATTGGTTAATACTGGCCCCATCCAGGGAAGTGGCCGTGAGCCACACGCAATGGGTCTTGTCCCACATACAGCGTCTGGGCTTTGTGGTGAACAGGGAGAAGAGCAAGCTGCAGCCAGCCCAACGCATGATTTACCTCGGTCTGCAGCTAGACTCTGTGATATTCCGTGCTGCATTGTCCGTGGACAGACGGACGAATATTACCCGTCTGGCCCGGGAGGTTCTGGCGGGCCCCAGAGTTCCCGCTCGGCGCCTCAGGTCCCTGCTGGGGATGATGGCAGCGGCTCATGCTGTGGTGCGGCTAGGCCTGCTCCACATGAGAAATTTTCAGAGGTGGTTCTCGCGCCTCAGGCTTCACCCCTCCCGGGACGGGGGGAGGCTGATCTGGGTTCCCCAAGGGGCAGCATCGGACATCAGGTTCTGGCTCACTCCGGGTCTACTGCGGGACGGAGTGACTCTGGCCTGCGCTGTGTCTCACGCCGAGGTGTTCACGGACGCGTCGCTCGAAGGATGGGGCGGGGTCCTCGGCCAGAGCTCTGTAGGAGGCTGCTGGTCGGACTCAGCCCGTCACATCAACCTGCTGGAGATGGAGGCAGTGCACAGAGTACTGCTGCACTTTGCCCCTCAGCTGCAGGGGAGACACGTGATGGTGCGCTCAGACAACACCACAGTGGTCTCCTATCTGAACAGGCAGGGGGGCACCAGGTCCCCCGCTCTCCATCGCATGGCGACGGTGACGCTGCTGTGGGCGGCGCTTCACCTCCTGTCTCTCAGGGCGCGCCACGTCCCGGGGGTCCGGAACGTGGGAGCCGACAGGATGTCCAGGGGGGGCCCACTCCAGGACGAGTGGGGCCTGGCCCCACGGGTAGCCGCGGAGATCTGGCGGAGGTTCGGTCGTCCAGTAGTCGACCTTTTCGCCAGTGCAGAGAACGCACAGTGCCCGTCCTGGTTCGCCTTAAGGGCCGCGGACGAGCCGCCTTTAGGCGTGGACGCTCTGGCTCATTACCCATGGCCAGGCGGCCTGTTGTACGCTTTTCCACCGGTGCGTCTCCTGCCGGTCCTACTGCGGAGGATCGAACAGGAGAGGAGGTCGGTGATTCTGGTGGCTCCGGACAGCCCGCATGCCCGGTGGTTCCCCTTCCTGAGGGGCATGGCGGTGATGGAGCCCTGGGCCCTCCCGGACGAGCCGGGGGCTCTAGTCCAGGGGGCAGGAGCCCTGTTTTCACGTCCGATAATCGGCCGCAGGCTCTGGGTTTGGAGGTTGAGAGGCGGAGCCTCGTAGATCTGGGTCTTCCCCCTGCGGTGGTGGAGACAATTCAGGGAGCGAGGGCGCCGTCCACCGTGAGGGCCTACGCCACGAGGTGGAGGCTATTCAGTGCCTGGTGCGATTCCCGTTCCTGGGATCCCAGGTTTTGCCCGCTGGAGGGGGTCCTGGGATTCCTACAGGAGCTTTTCGACAAGGGGAGGGCTGTCGCTACCTTGGCGGTGTTTGCGGCAGCCATTACTTCAGGTCACGACGGGTTCGGGGGGTTCACAGCCCGCTCTCACCCGTTGATTAAACGTTTTCTGCGGGGGGCGCGCAGGAGGAGGCCCCCGCTCCAGAGAACGCCTCCGGTTTGGGACCTCAGGGTGGTCCTTAGGGGGCTGTCGGGTTCGCCTTTTGAACCGGCGGCGGAGGCGAGTCCCGATTGTATCGCTTTTAAGACGGCCCTCTTGCTGGCGTTGGCGTCTGCAAAAAGGGCGGGCGATTTGTGTGCGCTCTCAGTCCATGCGTCGTGCCTGTCCTTTGGAGAGGACGACGGCATGGTGGAGTTGTGGCCCAATCCGGCTTTTCTCCCCAAGGTCATCACGTCGGCTTTTAGGTCGAGAGTGATCAGGATTAGGGCTTTCCACCCGCCGCCGCATGCCTCCCCCGAGGAGGAGCGGCAGCACCTTCTGTGTCCTATCAGAATGCTGAGGCATTACCTGGCCATGACGTCGTCATTCAGGTCGGGTGATCAGCTGTTTGTGTGTCTGGGCCCCAAGAACAGGGGCGCCCCGCTGTCGGCTCAGCGGCTGGCGCATTGGGTCGCCACGGCGGTGCGACGGGCGTATCAGGCGCAGGGCCTGGCCCCCCCGGTGGGTTTCAGGTCGCATTCCACGCGTGGGATGGCGGCCTCTACGGCCCTTCTCAGGGGGGCGTCGGTCGAGGACGTTTGCCGTGCGGCTTCTTGGGCGTCGTCCTCCTCTTTCGTCCGGTCTTATCTTTCGGATGTGTCGGACCGGTCGGTGGCCCATTCCGTGCTGAGTGCAGCGGATTGAGTTGGACCGTTGGGTCCCTCCCCTGAGGAGTGGGCCTTCGGTCTATTTTTCCGCCCTGGTGCAGGAGCTCTTGGGAGAGGCATCCTACAGGTGCGGTACATATATGTGTGTTTGATCGGTCTGGTAGTCTACATCAGGAGCTCTTGGGAGAGGCGTCCTGTGACTACGGTTGACCTACGATTGGTGTTACGTGGGGGCGTCCTTGGTAGGAGTGGCCCGGTAACACGCTTTGTTTCTTCTGCCCTGAGTCCTCTCACGGTGTGAGGGTCTTGCTCGGGCGGAGCTCCAATCACCCTTCGCTGGCCTGCTGGGAGTACATGTTCCTACGGCCTCCGCGTTGTGTCCCACTAGCGAAGTCCTAAGGGACGTAGCACCATGACGTAGAATTAATAGTTACCTATGTAACTTAAGTTCTACGAATAGGTGCGTAGTCCCTTAGCTACGAGCCCATCAGGCCAGCCCGGCTTGGCAGAGTTCAAGAGGGGGTGCGGCCTTGTGCAGGGGCATTTATAGAGGAAGGTGGCTGGTGATTGGAGCAAATTATTTTGATCTCTCTGGCGTCTGTGACCTGGGGGTCACGTGATATCCCACTAGCGAAGTCCTAAGGGACTACGCACCTATTCGTAGAACTTAAGTTACATAGGTAACTATTAATTCCCATCATGCTTTTGGTTTGTCACGTGTCCTCCTCAAACAACAACAAGCACAGGCATGCCTGTGCTTTATTTAGCAAAGAGTTTGGTCTCGTTTCTCAAACGTAAATCTGGGCTGTGTACAGAGGACTGCGTGCTTCGGTATGTACAAACGACGCTGCGCGTGATTTGATTCATAGCGTAGTTAATGTTGTAGCGTAGCTTCTTCTGAGGCCAGTTTTCATTACTTTCATGACTGTCTTTCTTATATCGCTATGCACTCCACTAAACATGGCTGATACTTAGTTATTATTGCTTAACAAGTAGGTACGTCTTTCCGTTTTTTTCGTTTGGAGACTGAAAATATATCCCAAAGCATTTATGTTCCCCCCGTGCAACTAAAATTGTATGAATTATTTGTGAATTTAGACAATTAAATAATAATTATGTGAACATTGTGAAATTAATCACAAGTAATGTAATGTTACAGTATATTTGACAATTTATAAATATTACATTATTTATATATTATACTGTAATGTTAAAGTATATTTTACAATTTTCTTTCAGATTCAGGAGAGAAGTGCTGACACCAGATCTTATACCCACCACTTCTACTTTGGTAGCTTCAATCAGGTAAAAATGTAACTATACATTTGATTTATAGTTTACTAACTGTATACAACATTGAATCCATATTTTTGTCTTGCAGGGGACCAATAATCAAGACTCAAAGAAGGAGAAAGATTAGAGACAGTAGGCTTTTTAGATGAGATGGCAATGCAAAGC